TCATGCGGACAGACTGGAGAATACATACCATAAAAGTGAAGCGAAGCGAAGTGGAGAAAGCCGGCGCGCCAACCCACCCGATTAAGCATTTATAGTTAGACAAAAATAAGCCAGTCAGTCAGTCAGTCAGTTACAATGTAGAACTTTGTACGTACGTACATCAGTTCAAGTTGTCATATCACATTAGCACAGAGACGCTATTGTGAATTCAAATCCCACAGTAGTAGAGGTAGTAGAAGTATTGGCAGTAATCAGAAAAATTAGGGTTCGAAGATAAGACACGCAATAATCGAAGTGAGCGGCATATACACACACTCTCAAATAAAAAACAACCAAGATAAAAGTGAATAGTTGGAGATTTCGAAAGACGTGTGAATAATAACTCCAGTAAAAATAGATTGGTTCAATTGTCTGAAGGCATGAGACAAGCCATATGGGCTCGATATAAAAGCACACACGTACTACAGCATAGATCAATCATTTCAAAATTGTCATCATGTTCTAACTAAGGCAGTTTTCTTACTGTATTGAGTTTCTCTGTACAGTGTTTATTGAAGACAACTCTAATCTTCACAATATTGCTTTAACCTATGATAATGATGCATTTCTCCTGTTGTTGGAAAATTTTTAGTGGGAAAAAATTTGTATAAAATTGTTAGGGTATGTTGCTTCTGCAATAAATTCTTTCTGAGTGATAAACTCTTATTCATTCTCATTTGAGTACCTATTTTTTTTGAGTAAACATTGAAATGTTTTCAAACTAGCATGGATAGACTTACAATTGATCAATCCCATTAGGTAATGACGAATGTCACATGTGTCAAGTCCTCTTGAATGCTCATCGAATTCTATCGATCAAGTTGTAATGTGTTTAGAGATTAATTTAGAAATATCTTAACATCGCGTTCACTATGGTTGACATGTAAAAATGGTGAAGACCCAGTCCAGGGTGCCCTGTCAACTATCACGTAATTATATATATATATATATATATATATATATATATATATATATAATGAGTTCATTTTCACAATATGATAAGAGATTACATAACCTTTTGAGAACTAAATATAGAAGTCTATAATATATAATCAACAACTTTCTTTTACGTTCTAAGAATATACGCTAGTAGAAATTCGTGTTTTCAGAAAATCATTCATCAAGTTGAGAATATATACATATATATATATGTATACATATATTGATAAAGGCTATTCATACAATGATTCAAACAACCGAAGTTATTTTTTTCTCCTATAAAAAAGACTATAATGAGAAAATCTGTAGCAAACTGTAAACACCATTCAGTCAGCTACAAAGTAGAACGTCGTACGTACGTACGTACGTACTACATCAATTCAAGTTGCTGTACAACATTAGCACAAAGACGAAATTGTCCATTCAAATCCCATAGTGGTGGTAGATGTAGTAGAAGTATTAGCAGTAATGGAGAAGATTAGAGTTCAAATATATGATTCAAGAAGTATAATTCAGTGAAATAAATTTATGAGATCAAAGAAGGTTCTGAGCTGATGAGGTCATAAGAGAAGACAAACAATCGATGCAGCTGCACCATTGCAACCCATTTCGAGTTATATCATTCAAGGTTTCTAACCGTTGGTTACTAATGTCTCGTGGACCTGGTAGTCTATACCTACCAACATGACTTAGTCCACTTGTCAGTGACTTCATAGATTTTTGCCATGTTTTGGTCTGGAAGCCCCTAGCTTCATTCCAGCCTACCCTTACACCACAAAACATAGCTCGTCGAGGCAGTCGGTGGTTAGGCATACGTAACATATGTCCCAAACATCTCAACTGATGAAGTTTCAATACTTCATCTATTGATATGCCATCCCTATCTAGTACTCGTTTCCTAACAACAGCTTGGTTTACTCGGTTGTCCCAAGATATATTGAACAAATGCTTTGAAGACACCTACCTATAATCGAAAACCAGTAACGGTTATATTTAGTGAAAATCAACTTAAAAAACATAATCAAAGTGTAAGTGTGCATATACATTCATAACCTTAATTAATTAATTAGATTATGCAAAAGTGAATTTCATTGTTATTAATTAAAGTTGTTAGTGAATTAAATTCTCTAGTTAACAATGATCATTTTAATTATTATTAAATGATTTAGAATCTCCTTTGTTTGTTTTCTAAGTTTGTTCGTTTGTATGTAAACTAATAATTGAAGCCTATGGGAACTAGTTATTGTTCAATAAAGCTTGACCTTTATCATCATTAGCTTACATTTCACTATTATTATTATTATTATTATTATTATTATTATTATTATTACTTTAATGCTTATATACTATACTATACGACATGTACTTCTTACTCTCTCTCTTTCTCTCTCTCGCTCTTAGTGTATTCCTTCCTATGCATTCGATCAAACAAACAATCAGCTCAAAAACAAACAACAAAACAAAAAAAACGCAACTCTCTCACAATCCATTAAATTCACATTCAACTTAACCGATTTACATGATGATAATACAAATGTTAATTGATTGGACATCCGTTTATTTGATTATTATTATTATTATTATATAAATGTCCTTTAGATAGAGAACAGAGAGAGAGAGATAGAGAATATTTGTAGGTCAGATGGATGGATGATGATGGCAGAGGTTTATCCTCTGAGCTGTCCTCTGGTTTCAAGGTGGAGCTTTTATTCGTTCTTCTGAATAACATTATCAACAGTAACTTCTGTGAGAAGTGAGTTAATGGAATTTTCCAATATATTTGACTAACGATGTGACCTGTTAATCTTGACTAAATATGAACCCGTCCATTTACCCTGAACTAGATCAAAAAATTGCCGATGACGTAGTCGTACTTGGTGAAGACGCCGACAAAATGCAGAGTCTTCTGACCACCCTAAACAACAATGCAAGCATGTTCGGGATGAGTTTTTCCCCCTCGAAATGCAAAATGTAGCTTCAAGATTGGGTTGCATCGGCACCTGAACTAGTGATAGGGAGTGAAGTAGTCGAACGTGTAGACCGCTTCACTTATCTTGAGAGTCTCATCAGTGCCGATGGCCTCGTGACTGACGAAATCTCACCACGGATACAGAAAACTAGATTGGCTTTTGCCAACCTGCGTCACTTATGGCGTAGAGGAGATATCCGTTTGCTGACTAATAGACGCAATGGTGACACTTCAGTTGAGGTGGTTGGGACATGTGTTACGTATGCCCAACCACCGACTGCCTCGTCGAGCTTTGTTTTGTAGTGTAGAAGTAGGTTGGAAGAAAGTTAGGGGCGGCCAAACCAAAACATGGCGGAAATCCATGAAGTCATTGACGAGTGGACTTAGCCATGTCGGTAATTGTCGACTACCTGGTTGGGGTCCGCGAGATGATAATAATCGATGGTTAGAGACCCTGAGAATGACATGGCTCAAAATCGTTCGCAATGGCGCAGATTCATCCACTCTTTGTGATCTCTCAAATCCTAATCTTCTGCGTTCTTCAACACCTCTACTTTTGAATTTCTAAACTTTTCTCATTGAATCATACTTCTTGAATAATATCTTCTAATCATAACCTCTCCGATTACTTCTAATACGTTTTGCTACCTCTTCTACTATTTGGATTTGAATTGACAATTACATCTCTGTGCTGATGTGGTATGGCGACATGAACTGATGTACTTACTTACGAAGTTCTACGTTGCAACTGACTGACTGACTGAGGTCAAAAATAAATAACTATCTCGACATGATGCACGTCAACAAGAACAACAACCTGTTCTGTGTCATATGTGCAAAATTCTGAATAGCACATTCTACTAACCTATACTCTGTGTTAATGATATTGTTTAGAAGAACGAATGAAAGTTTCACAATTAAACTAATCAGCTCAGAGAACGAAACAACAACAACAAAACAAGATTATTCAGCCAATAATATACAATACATTTCTATGTTGCCCCTATTGGAGAGGATGAATAACATCGATCGGTAGTTTACTTAAATTTTTAGTCCATACACGTATCTACACTAAATATTAATTTGTTTTATAGAAAATATTACTTTACAAATATAATAGCTAGAATCAAGCATAGGAATTGTTATTGATTCAATTTGCTGAAGAAAATAGTTTCAACTAGCCCACTCATACATACACTGAAGCAGAACGTAAATACTCTGACAGTTTTGGGGCTTTTACTTATCAGTCAATCGGTCAGTCAACAACAACAACAACAACAACAACATAGAACTTTATACATACGTACGTATATAAGTTCAAGTTGTCATACCATATTAGCACAAAGATGCAATTGTCAATACAAATCCCATTGTAATAGAGGTAGTAAAGGTATTAGCAGTAATCGGAGAGATCATGGTTCGACGATATTATTCAAGAAGTATAATCTAGTGAAATAAACTTAAAAAGAAAAAGATAAAGGTGATGAGGAACTCTAAAGTTTGGGATTTGAGAGGATATAAAGAATGAATGCACCTATGCCATTTACAAACGGTTTTGTCATTTTACCTATGACAAAATACAACCTATCAAAAAAATAATAATAAACCATTTACATAAAACCCATCATTAAAAAAAATTATTTTTGAAACCATGAATCGATCAATGTTAGACCACCATTAGAAACCTGGAAGCACTGGACGGCCGTTTTGTCCTGGTTTGGGACTCTTCAGCAGTGCGCATTCACGTTAAACATTAACACCGTTAGATACTGGCTCAGTGGTCTAACAGTTACGGCGTTCGCGCACAACACCGAAAGTCATGGGTTCGAATCCTGCGGGGTGCAGGAGTCGTGGGTGCGCACTGCTGAGGAGTCCAAAATCAGGATGAAACAGCCGTCCAGTGCTTCCAGGTTTCTAATGGTGGTCTAACATTGATCGATTCATGGTTTCAAAAATGTGTAACTTAAAAATCTTCACAACCCCATAATGCAAATTAAATTATTATCATTCATTAAGAAAACAAAACATTCAACGCAAAATCATCATAACTTACATCAGATCTTGGCGTTCCCAAAATAAAACTCATAATTGCCTGAAAAAAAATATGAAAAGAAAATAGGGAAATTCAGTTTTTTTCCCTTAGAAGCTTTTTCTTAAAATGAAAATTAACAATTTTTTATTGATAATTCCCATGAGAATATCAGAAAAAAAAGAATCCAATTACTTTTCTCTTAACTAATAAATGTCATCTCTATACAAAAATATTGAAAGTAATGAGAGGGTCAGGAGAGCGCGCGCGCGAGGGAGAGAGTTATGTGAGTGACATAGAAAATAATGTGATGATAATTTAAACAAAAGTGAACATCTAATCATATCTATTACACTTTTTTCCTTTTATAAAACGTTTTCAAAGCATAAGCTTGTCAGTTCATTTGTCCATTTCCGATTGACAGACAGACAGATACAACGCAGAATTTCGTACATAAGTACATCAGTTCATGTTGCCATACCGCACTAACTCTGAAACACAACTGTCAGTTCAAATCCACGAGTGACAGCGATAATAGAAGTATTAGCAACCATGGAGAAGATTAGGGAGCGAAGATATGATTCGAAAAGTATAATTCAGTGAGATAAATTTGTTAAGAGAAAGATAGAGATTATGAGGAATGCAGAAGGTTAGAATTAGAGAGAACACAAAGAGTGGATGCACCTGAAACTGGATTTAAGCCTGTGATCTAATGGTTGGAAGTCAATCGGTCAGTCAGGTACAATGTAGACCTCTGTACATACGTGTGCACGTTCAACAGTTCAAGTGACCATACCACAGCGAACTGTCAATTCAAATCCCTCAGTAGTAGAGGTAGTAGAAGTATTGGCAGTAATGTAATAGATTAGAGTTCGAAGATATCATTTAAGTAGTATAATCCAGTGAAATAAATTTAAAACATATGATAAAGTCCTGAGCTTATGAGATCATGAAAGAAGACAAAGAATGGATGCACCTACGCCATTACAAACGGTTTTGAGTCATGTCGTTCAAGGTCTCTAACCATAGATTACTATCATCTCGCGGACCCCAACCTAGTAGTCTACACCTACCAATATGGCTCAGTCCACTTGTCAGTGACTTCATGGATTTGTGCCATGTTTTGGTTTGGCCACCCCTAGCTTTCTGGTTGGAAGACAGGTTATAAAACCTACTGCTTCATAATAACCTTTTGACATTTCATTACAGAATAATGAACTGAATTTAAAATGTTTATGAGTAAATATAGAAATAAATAAAATTACCTATTTGTACGGTATTGTTTTTTTAATTTTAAAAAAAAATCCATAAAACGACATTTTTTGGTGTAATCGATAAGCATAGTACTTATTAGAAACTAAAGCTTCATGAAGCAACAAGTATTTTATCCTATAATAATTTAAACAGACACCATGGATTGTTAAACGAAAAGAGATAGTATAATAATTAAACCGATAAGTGTACTCTTGTTAGTTGCATCAGCTGATACAACTGAGGTAGTTCAGATATTTATTGCATATGTCCAACTACCACCTAGCTCAACGGATGATACTGTCTAGTACAGTAAGTTAGAAGAAACTTTTGGGCAGATTAGTTAAGTGACGTTTGCACAACTAAGACGATAACTGGCTGGAGATGTTCAGTGACACGGCTCAGATGCATCCACTTTGTTATCTCTTAGGCTATGAGTCTCGAAATTATCTTCATAAATCTGACCTTTCATACTACCAATAATTTTAATTGTCAGTCTATTACTCAGGGATTTGGCTTGATTGTTTTCACTTAAACCAATACATGTATGTGTCAGGTTCTACACAATGCACATATACGGTTGATAATATATTCAACAACCTTGTTTTCTTTAAATAACATTAAAGCAGATATAGTTAGCGGTTAGTAGTGTAATTCAAGACATGTATTTCGTCTTATTTGAGACTCATCAGATGGATGTACCTGTATTCCAGAGTTGATCTGTTACTCCAGGATCGGAGACTGATCAATCACAGTTCAAACTATCAATCGGAAGATCCGAAATACCAATACGATTAAATTTAAAAATCTACATCAGACTAATGGTGAAGGTATATTTTTTATCGAAAAGATGAAAAAACATTTAAAAAGCATTCTCAAAATTCACTTTCAGAGAATCTAAGAACTAAATCTTTTGAAAGCTTTCATTGAACACAATGACATTCTTGAAGTATTCTGTGCTGATTAGAGTATTTTTTTACCCAGAAAAATAACAGCTGGATTGTTTTAAAGTATTCAACATTAATCTATACACCAAGTTAATGATTTTACACACTGAATTCTTCAACAATTGAGACTAAACAAAATGTCATTATAAATTTCAAATATTCTCTATCGTTCAATCGAGCTATGTTTTGTGGTGTAGGAGTAGGTTGGAAGAAAGTTAGGGGCGGCCAGACCAAAACATGGCGTAAATCCATGAAGACACTGACTAGTGGACTGAGTCATGTTGTTAGATGTAGACTACCTGATTGAGGGCCGCGAGAAGAAAGTCACCAATGGTTAGAGACCTTGAACGACATGGCTCAGAATCGCTTGCAATGGCGCACGTGCATCCACTCTTTGTGTGCTTTTTAATTCTAACCTTCTGAATTCCTCATAATCCCCATCTTTCTCCTTCTAAATTTATCTCACTGAATTATACTTTTAGAATCATATCTTCGCTCCCTAATCTTCTCCATTACTGCTAATAATTCTACTATCGTTATCACGCTTGGATTAGAACTGACAGTTACGTCTCTGTGCTGACATGGTATGGCAACCTGAACTGATGTACTTATGTACGAAATTCTGCATTGTATCTGTCTGTCTGTCTGTCTGTCTATCAATCGGAAATCGACAAATGAGTACTAATTTAGATTGATTCACTAATCTTCAACCAGAGAACGATAGATTGACACCATATAACTACTCATCGGCTGTTTTAGAAAACAAACAAACAAAACCGTCTTATCATGTGGGAACATTAGAAAAGTAAATATAAGAATACTTGACACAAAACCAACTAATAGATCTCATGTCGGAACACTACCATTACTTCATTACAAACAGTTTGTCACAACGTCAGTCAGTCAGTTGCAACGTAGAACTTCGTACGTAAGTACATCAGTTCATGTCGCCATACCACATCAGCACAGAGATGTAATTGTCAATTCAAATCCAATAGTAGAAGAGGTAGTAAAGGTATTAGAAGTAATCGTAGACGTTAGAATTAGAAGATATTATTCACGAAGTATGATTCAATGAGATAAGTTTAGAAAGTAAAAGCTAGAGGTGTTGAAGAACCCAGAAGATTAGGATTTGAGAGAACACAAAGAATAAATGCACTGGCGCCATTGCGAACGATTTTGAGCCGTGTCATTCAAGGTCTTTAGCCATCGATTATTATCATCTCGCGGACCCCAACCAGGTAGTCGACAATTACTAACATGGCTGTTGATTTGATAGTGATGCATCTTTCTTGTTTATCTTTTCGGGTGTCGGTGAACCGGGCATCCCCAGCGCGTGATTCGGCTATAATGCCAGCCTTGCAAACAAGCGAATCCGTAAGTGCAGACTTTCCATGATCCACATGTGCTATGACGGACATGTTGCGAATATTCCGCTTGAAATCCATCATCCGACGTAACTCATCTACTGTGAATTTTACCATTTTGCCGGGACCCACTAGCCACGAACAACACTAAGGACAAATTGTCACAACGTAGAACTTCATACAGTACGTATGTACATCAGTTCAACTTGCCATACCACATTAGCACAGAGAAGCAATCCCATAGTAGTACAGATAGTAGAAGTATGAACAGTAATTGGAGACAGTAGCGTTCATTTCATTAAAGCAACAAATACAATAATTTTTTTATTACTGAATAATAAAAGAGACAAATCAACTTACGTGAGAATATTCAAAATCACTGTTTGTTAATAAAAACACTTTTGCACCATTCATTCGTAGCCTATAATATGAATCAAAATAATAATAATAATAATAATAATAATAATAACAGAGTGAAATATTTCATCATTTAAAACGAAAAAAGTTCATTCTTTTCAATTATAAATTAAAAGCATAACAATAGATAAAATAGAATAGAATAAAATAAATTTACCTATCTAATAAAGTAGATAAACGTGAATCTCTTTCAACATATTCACTAATATTTGCCAAAGTACGTTGTTTCAATTCACCCTGCAATAAAATTTAAACACACAAAAAAGCTCTAATGATGTATTTACTATTGAGGATAACAGTAAATTATGAAATTAAACTTCATTCTACTATTAGAAATTAAAACCATAATGTAATGATCAAGGAGTATTTGTTTTATAGTGAACTACATGTGTTACGAATGCCTAACCACCGACTGCTTCGACGAGCTATGTTTTGTGGTGTAGGAGTAGGTTGGAAGAAAGCAAGGGGCGGCCAGACCAGAACATGGCAGAAATCCATGAAGTTACTGACTAGTGGACTGAGTCATGTAGGTAGATGTAGACTACGTGGTTAGGGTCCGCGAGACGAAAGTCACCAATGGTTAGAGACCTTGAACGACATGGCTCAGAATCGTTTGCAATGGCGAAGGTGCATCAATTCGTTGAGCTCTCTCAAATCCTAATCTCCTGGATTCGTCAACACCTCTACCTTTTTCTTTCTAAACTTATTTCACTGAATTATACTTCTTGAATAATATCTTCAAACCCTAGTCTTCTTCATTACCATTAATACCTCTACTATCTTTATCACTATGGGATTTGATTTGACAATTACATCTCTGTGCTAATGTGGTATGGCAACATGAACTTATGTACATACGTACGAAGTTCTACATTGCAACTAACTGAATGACTGACTTATAGTGAACTATTGAAGCTAAATTAAATAGAATGCTTTTTAACAAAAGTGTAATAAGTAATATGCAATTCATTTACAGCATAAAATCAAGAATACATCACGCAGAGAATCGGGGAGACATATATGAAAAGAATAAATGGCGATCGGAAACAACCAGAAATAAAAGCACAAGACAGAAGTGGTTGAAGATTGCTGGTCGGTGATCTATGCTTCACGAGGGGTAGGTGGTAAGTAATAAAATTGAAACTAGCAAGTCCCATATTCAGAAATATTAACATTATCTCAAATCTAATATAAAAGAACCTCCACCAGTAGTAGTATCTCATTCTAGTTAACTGAAATGTCGCTACACTAGGCTATATTTATCTGCAACTATGTAAATGGTTGATGTACAATTTGAGCTAGTAAATATAAATGGATTAACTTAGGCTTTTATTCCAGCGATAATTCTATTTTCGTAGAATTCATATTTCACTAATCTTATCGCCAGTCAATCTGATCATGAAATACATTAATCACAACTTTGAATTCAAAAAGATGAACAGGGAGGTTTCTGTTCACCTATTTCATGCCCAATAGTTAAAGTGAGATATCCATGATTTTATAGAAGCTCCTTAATAGATACCTCAGAAGAATCAAATTAAAATCATTCACTCTGTGAGATATAAACAATGCAGACACTTCATACTAGAACAGCGAAATATTCAAACATCGGATATCAACTATGTGTAGTTAAAAAAAAGCCAACAGACAAGAATAAATGGATGAAAACATAGAACAGGAATTACAAAAGGTCGAAGGTCAGAGCAAGATAAAGAATGTACACATCTACACTGACAACAATGGGTCTTGAATTACTGTACAATGTTTTCCAACCCTAATTTAAGCATGACTCTACCGACAATTCAGGCTAGTAGTTTATAATGACATCTGTTAGTGGAACATATTAGTTTACCGAAAACAAAACAAACCTTTTGAGTGCTTAAATTTCGATATCTGTCAACTGACCGGAGATAGTGAAAAGTTGGAAAAATGAGAATAAAGTAAAACATACTTAAGAATGAATGTGATTAGATTAAAGATATTCGTAGTGATTGCCAACTTAGATCGACAGACTGCTTATACTTTAATTCAAGAACTTCATGGATTAACTTTTGCAAAGCCAACTGTTTTACGTTACACTACTTATTCATATACAATCAAGAGTCAAAGTATTCATAAAGCATAAATTAAATACGTATCTTAGACTGTCGTCAAGATTAAGCAATTACATTATCAACTAAGTCACTTAGAAACGTGGAAGCTGGTATATATGCACACCAGTTTAAACTGCCACACCACATCAACACATCGAGATGAATATCGGATTATCAGCAACAGCAGTAACAGAAAATAACAGTAAAGAATACAATACAGGAATATGCTGAACCAAAGGTATAAAATAATCGTAGGACTTAGAATCTTAGGGTAAAGAGAGGATGAATCAATTTATACTACCTAAAGTGGTCAAGTCTCATCTATGATTATGTTCGCTTTTTAAGTATATTTCAAAGATATCTTTTATTTTTAGTTTAGGAGACAGCATTAAATCCCCATACATTACTTTCAATGAGTTTTGGTTTGTTCTTAAAATGAAACAGCAGGGAACAAGGATTCTTAAGAGATTTGTGTACATTACGCTTGTCTCAGTATTTTAACTTTATTGACAAACCTTCATGTTAAAGCCAGAAACATTAAACGTTAATATGAAAAGTGGTCACTAACATAATAATCTTCTCAACACCAACCATAAACATATTACGTATCACAGTGAAATTATAACGAAATAAAAACGACTACTTGCTACTAAGAAGCAATATACATCCTTTCAAATATCTGCCAAGCGCCAGGTGAAAGTTGTCAGTGACTAACAGTCAAACCATCTCTAATCTACTGTCAAAAAGTCAAAATAGCCTATCCAGAATCTGAAGTAGGTTTATAAAACACTACACATTTAAACGAAAATGTAAACGAGGTATTCACCACTAAACAAAAACGTCAAACTGAATTGAGAGGACGAAATTCGGAAAAGTAGTCGGAGAATATATATAACTTTACTTACTCTGTGCATCCAATCACAAGCGGTCCTCACATCCTCGTAAATAGAAGCATATGACATATACAGAGATCCTTTCTTCACACCATGTTCCACTTTAGTGTATTCAGGATCATTGACAAACATATGGATTATACATGAAAGTATGTAGGTTTCTAAAACGATAAATTGGTTGTAAAAGTCTCATACCTGGAAGACTGAACAAGGTGTTCATTATTTCAATTCTCTTCTCGTCATACTTAACGAACTTATTCGGATACATTGATCGAAGTTCTTCCCTGTATACTATTAAGACGTTAAAATTGACAACTAACCTTTGAATAAACTGAAATCCACGTAGACATGAAAGAATGTTGCCAAACTGATCTATTTTTAGCAGAGTACCATAAAGTCGATCAAACCATAGACCTCTAAAAACAATACAAAATTCAAAGTTTGAAAAAATGAACAAGTGAATGCAATTCAATTATGTGTACATGAAGTTCCTCAAGTCATATCATATGCTTGAGGATTTATATCGCATGAGACGTGAAAGTAAAAACCACGTTAAACAATCAATTTGGGAATAATCTAGCTATATAGACGTATAAACATCTCCATTAGTTTTTATTTACACCTGAAATTGACGTATACACAAAACGAACTATAGCAGATAGTTGTATGGATATATGTATTATGTATACAAGCGTTTACACGACCGGCTGGACTTCTAAAACATCGATCACTCACAAACTTCTGAACATACAGCTCATATCAATTTTCTATTGCGTAAAAAGAAAAGGACAATACCAACAGCAAAAACATCATACACTACACATGATTTGACTAACCTCAGTGGAAACGAAGGATCGTAGACAAAATCAGAAGTTTTGGGCGGATAGCCAAGCTGTATCAAACGATTTTTTATGATATTGAAAGCAAGCTCTTCATACTGTGGTGATTTGTACTCTATAAGTAGTTGAAATGTGATAGAAAAAAATATTGATGAACTTTACGGGCTAAAGTGTAGTCCATGTCGAATCCAAAAAATTTTATTTTGTCTAGCTGTAAGCTCCGATTGACAAATATTCTATCAGTGGTTTATCATAACTTCAAGTCGATGATTACCTATGTTTCGTTTCACGCTTACTGACACGGATATGTGCCGCAGCTTCATACTCAGGCATGTCCATTTTATTGTAGAACAAATAAATTCAAAGTATTAACTGAACGACGGAACCTCACTAAATTAACAGATGGAAATATAGAGGTATTTCGAAAGGTGTTATATAGGATAATTTGAAGTCGTGAAACGACTAAACAAAAAGTTAGAAATCGTGAATATTTATATGACAATGTGTGGTGAACATATTATATGGTAAATATTTACATAAACATGTAATTATTAGTTTTTTCAGTGTAACTGAGATAATTGTCTAGCTGTCTACGATTAGGGGATGTTGTAAAGGCGGGAAACAGCATTGTGCTAGTGCTACCCAGAGTTGACCTTTTAGGACGTAGGAGAATATCAGAAATATTTTAGCATCATCGCATCCTCTCGTACCTCCATTCTCGATAAGCTTGTACTAAATTCCTTATTGTTTAAGCATATGTTGCTACTGAGTGTTATGCTAGCTTCTACATTCTGAATAAGACCTAGAAAAGTGTTAGAAATGATTTTGAAGTATTTTCAGGCTGTCTAAATTGTAGTTTATCACGAGAATCAGACAGTACATTTTTTATTGAGCATAAGGGTTAGAGAATTAGGTTTCATAGCGATGGGCCTTAGTTCAGTTAAAACCGTTTCATTTTTCGGGACATAAACATCTGTAAAGATTGCTATAAAGCTGTAATTATGTTCAATTTCACTCATAAGTAATAGGTCGGTAACTTCGTATTGATGACCTCTTCACTGTTATACGAAAGACCTCTTTAGTTAACTCTACTCACTAACATTCATCATTTATGTAGAAGAAAACTAAATTTTGTAATTTCTACGTGGGAGTAATAGCGTTCTTTGGTATCGAAGACGATGAAAGCGCATGTAGAGCGTTTAACATGACTGGCAAACGCAGTATTCGGCAACTACCTTGAAAAGTACAACTATTTCCAAAATTAATATAGATTAGGCAAATTACCAAATTTGTATGCCCGTGTACTGCGGAGACAACACTCGAACGATAGTGTTCTGTAGAAAGTTTCAAAACAGTGAGTCTAGGTATAGTGGTTTTAGTAGGATACTCCGAGTTGCGCGTCGTGCTATAGAGTCATTTTCAACGCCGTATGGAAGGTCGAGAATTCACTCTTTTCATAGACGATAAACCCTTTTCCTTTTTTTATTTGGTTTTCAGACGATAACCCTACTTTAGAGCCCTGATAACTGGACTACTTCTCTTAGTCTACTGAAGACATAAAACATTTTACTGGTACGAACTACCTAGTTGCAGACAGCTTGTCCTGTACAAATTCCATGATCAGTTTCCTCAGGATTGATCTTCTTGAGCTACCACAGTTTCAAAGTAGAACATTGATTTTGAGCATTATTTATCATACATAACCCTGAAGCTACAAATCAAAAGTTGTTTACAGCTATATGAACTTAAGTTCCGTTCTTGTCGAAATATGATGGAATGAATGTTCTCAGCAGGTTGTCGAATTTTTCTTATTCTTGGGTTTGAGCTTCCATCAAGCACAGAGAAGAACGCTTTTGTTGTCCTGGTAAGAATGAAGGAGTTTATCGATATTAAATATTGATAGGCCAGTCGTTGGAGTAACACATGCAATAACTGGGAAGACCTACATTCGACTTTCGACAGTAGGATAAAGTTAGAAATCAGGAACGCGAGAACAAATAATGCAAATGTCAAGAGTCGGTCATTCAGGCCACTTAATATGATTTACCCTATCGTATTAAATATATTTATCTAGTGTTAGAAATTCCAGATCCTCAGAAATCTCTCGGTAAACTTCTCGTTCTGTAAGGGTTTGTAATCAAAGCCTACAGTGACAGAAAACCTGAGAAAAATAAATGCCAACCATATGTATATTAATAGGGCATTTTAAACACGACTCTGAAAAAAGTTTAGATCTTCATGGGAGTGTCATCAACAACATAAGCGCGAATGCCATCCCATTGATGTGTGCCGTACAAAGACAGAAGAACGAACGACATTTAGAAAGCTGGTGGTTTCATAGACTTGGAAACTAACAGTCGAGAGGAACTTTTCATCACTGGGTATGCTAATCAGATACCTGTGCTTCAGCTCATACAAACAGAAAGAAACTCTTTCGAACTCACATAGACATAAGTGATCCCGGCCACTAAAAACCTCGTGATAATAAGCTATATTAAACGATGGGCCACCAAACATTCAACCTCTGTAATTCATATCCTAAGTTTCTTGGTAACAGAACTATATGCTTCAATTTTTCTTCTTATATTCTTCTTTTTTTTCATAACCATTAAAAGACAGATGTGCTTTGGGTTTTCTTATGATCTAATTATAGTGTTGGACTCATTGGGTCATCGCATTTCCTTGTATGAATAATTGACAGAGCTCAATGCAACCAGAAGTTACTTTGGCTACTTTCAATTAAATAATTCTTCGAACGTTTCTCAGGCTATCACATGCGATTGCTCGAATGACCGTTTGAGAATTACCTTAGCCCTCCTATAGCCAGCAGAGGCTTCCATCATGACGCAAGCCTCAATGTCTGCTCTTGCCTGACTCTTGCAGTAGTGAGCCAAATATAGCAACCGCTGGCTATCGTCATTGACTCTTGATTCTACCCAAGTCTCGAACTGTCTCACAAATTTCGAATACCCTCCCACTTGTTCATCGAAATAACTTAACTCAACCTCGGGTAGTTCTAGACCTAAAACGGGCGTCACATTCTTTTCAGATACTTCGAACTTCATTTTAACTAAGATTTTTCGAGCCCTCTATCCACGGCTTGAGACTAGAGTCACTATCATGATAGTTGTCTTTATCTGAGTGTGAACCACGACTTATAAAGATGATTCGTCATTCAGTTTTTCTCCTTGACTACCAACGAGACTTGAGGGGGGCATGTTCTCCGAATTTTAGACTTCTGGAGTAATGAATACTTAGATCATGCGTTGATATGATTTTCTGAACCCTACATTTTTGTAAGTAGAGTGGTATTTCATGGTGATGCTTACTAAAATGCACAACCCCACGTTTGTTATGGCTAACAGCTGCATACCATTTTCAGATCATCCACATAAAAGTATGATCTACCAAATTTTATGGTTTTACATATGTCGTTCATGTACAGAAGAAACAAGAGTGGACCTAATATGGATAACTCCACTGGTCACTGGTCTAGGTGATGTAAGAAAATCTTTGTATTTAACTATTTGTTGGCTCTCATTTAGAAATGAAGCAAACCTCGAATATAGTGGGTTGCTGTTCCTGAATAACTTTAATTTAAGAAGACTTTTGTGTGGGACCTTATCAAAAGCCTTCTTAAAGTTTAAGAAAATGACTGATACTAGAAGCCCTTTGTCTTGTTTTTGCCTAATATAATTGAAATAATCTAGCAGGCATTTGTCACACAATCTGAACCTCAAGAACCCATGCTGTGAGGCCGATATGTGATTGTTATCAAGCAGATGTATTAACTCTGCCTTAACTACTTTCTCCATCACCCTAGATACTACTGAAGTTATGTTTTTGAGTCGGTAACTTTCAAAATTCTCTTTAGGCCCAGGTTTATTGTGGGGATGGTATGTGTAAACTTCCAGTTATTAGTTTAACACACTGTAGAGAGTGATCTAGTAAATGGTTTTAGAAGAATAGCACACAGATCATTGCAGCCATTTTCCAGCATGCTGACTGGTATACCATCTGGTCCTTGAATGTAACAGTGCTTTAGTTTGCTAATCCCCTTAGAAATGTTCTGTACACTAAAGTCAACACTGGACATTATTTCATAGCAAGAAATTTTGGGTCAGGTGTGATTCATTTGTTGGGTTTTTGTTCGTTAATATAGCGCAATAATGTCCATTAAATAGCTCTGCGATATGTTTTGGTTCTTTGGATGGTTAGTTGTCCTTGATAAATGTAGAATATATTTTGAATGTTTTGTTTTTTCGAAAATCCCTCCATGTATATATATTTTTGTTATGACATGACTGACTCTTTCTGTTGACATTTTGGTACTCTATTTGATTCCATTTTGTGATTTTATCATTGTATATTGTTATTATTTCTATATCTTGTACTTATATTGAAGTTTTTATGTTTGCTTCTGAACTGTACATATGTTGTTTAAATTTGATATTTAATATGGCTACAGCCTTATTTGGATTTGATATTTCAACAGTACGGACTGGAGGCACTTATTCTTCCAGAAACGGATACCCACTGCGGTAAATTGGAAATAGAAGGTGTAATATTGTTTGGTAATTGTCTGTATTTCCATTTTATTGAATTATAGGACCGTTTTCTCCCAGAATTATTGTTTTTTTTTCGGATCCGGGGGCAGCGGGTACCAAACTGCACCTATTCGAAACGGAGTGAACTGTTGGAGTAAAAAATTCATTTACAATAAATACGGCCACTCCTTTCACTTCAGAGAACCTAAGTTTATTTCGAAGGATTTTGACAAGTGCGGAGTCATTATTCACGTCGGCAGCACGCTTTTCTGTATGATTCCCTTTTTCGTACGTGTTATGGGAGAAATGAAGGCATTTCGCTGATTAAAACCTTCATATAAATATCATTAATTTCACTGATTTTGGGTATATTTGTTTTACATAACTTATGAACTTGTTTGAATTATTATTTGCGGCCATTTTTAGACTCCTGTTTGTTTTGGTTTGTTCGTTTGCAGTTTTTTGCTCCAGGAATCTATAAAATTGAAGGTAATTGTAATTACTATAATTATTGTTGTTAGAACGACATTGGTCGTCTATTTGTAATAAACGAACGACATTTTGGTCAATTATTTGTGAATTGACAATAAACTTTGGTACCTACTTTGGAGTTTCGTTTTGATATAATTTTTGGGTTCGAGAATTGCAAATAGATCGACTCACAGTGCTTCTAAGGAGAAAGGAGCAAAAAATTGGACGTAACAAAAGTTCTTCTATTTTAATTTTGGTCTTTGGTCATACACTGGATACTTTTCGATATTTGGGTCCAAAGGTTCTTCAATTGTGATTCTTTTGTCGTACATTGGATACCTCGAGACATTTTGGCTCCAAGATATTTTGCGTCAAGTTTTTGTTATTATTGGTCGAATACGTTTGGATTAATTCACATTTGCTT